CAGCGTGAAGCTCTTTCCCCGGAAGAGTTAACATTGGTTGTGGATGAAGGAGCCTGTGTCCTAGATTCTACGTTTTGGTAAACTCTGAAGGCTGGAGAGTTATTTGTATATGAGGCCCTGTCAAGGATGAAAGAGAATTTGCCGTTTAGTCTCGCAGTTTTTGCCCAAAGGGGGGGTGTGCCCGGATTGTAATAAAATCTGTAGTTTCTCATCCTTCGGGCACATAAGATAATATAGAGTATAGAGCCAATGGTTATATTACAAAGAATAGAATTTGTGCATAATTTAAATAATAGTAGAGTCAGATACAGCATATTAACTCAGTCAGACACCAGTGTAATAGAGTCAGATACCAGTGTGTAATACAGTCGGATATCAGTGTAGCAGAGTCAGATGCCAGTGTAGTTGAGTGAGCCAGATGCCAGTGTAGTAGAGTCAGATACCACGTACTAGAGTGGGTCAGATACATACTCATTAAAATAGCTATAAATGGTGAATACCACTTTAGACAAACTATCATTGTGTGCAAGTGTTGATAACAAACATTAAAAATCATGTTATTATTAAGCTTGCAAAGAAACAAATGTGATAATAATTGAAAATTACCGAATGTCAAAATACTGCCCGAATCCATGAGAAAACCAAAAAAATGTGACTGAACACGTAAATAAATCGGGCGTCATTTTTGCACCCAGTAAGGGCCTCAAATATGAGAACACAAGCTGAAACAGGTCATTCTTGGGGTCATCCAATCACAGGGCTTCCTGTAGCTGGTTTCGGTTTGTCCCTAGGGCAAGGCAGATAGGAGATATAAAGCTTTAAAGTCGACGTGCCTGTTTTCATCCTAATTTTGACCGAACCTGTAATTTTACTCTAAGTTCTATAGGCTATATTTGATTTGTGGCGAGCAAGAGATATCAAGCCTAACAACTGCAGCCCACCCCCCCCCCCCACCCCCCCACGTTTTTCTCGGGCTATATTAATTATCTTGTGGATGTGTGTGTACTACCCTCCACCCGTACTCCTCGCGCCAAAATTGATTGTTTGTACAGGTGGCTGTTCAAGCAGGTTAGATTGTATTTTTGTTATTGCTGCATTTTGCTATTATAGTATGGCTATTGTTAGGGGACCGTACGCCCCAATAGTGCTTGGCGCTAGGGGACCGTACGCCCTCATAGTGCTTGGCGCTAGGGGACCGTACGCCCCCATAGTGCTTGGCGCTAGGGGACCGTACGCCCTACCTGCGCTAAGGCTAAGTGTTAAGGGACCGTACGCAGATGTGCATGCATCTGGACTTTGCAAAAATACTGGAGGAAAACAGCCAGTTTACCGAAGATCCTGGCGTTAGGAGTTCTTACAAAGAATGTTTAAAATGTCTGAATACGATTGTGGGGTATCGTATACAGTGGCAGTGGGTGTGCCAAAATTTGAATTTTTCTCACGTTGTAGTTGTTAAGTGTCAATAAAAGACATCAAAAAGAGACAGAGAGAGAGAGGAGGGGGGGGGGAGAAAGAGAGAGAAGGAGAGAGAGAGAGAGAAAGAGAGAGAGAGAGAGATGGAAAGAGTTGGCGAAGGGAATGTTGGGGCGAACGATGGGGTCAGCAGGGTACAATTATGCTGTAAGATTGAGAAGAGATCATTAATCACGTGACACCTTGTGTGGAATAAGGGTTAATAGTACAAATTAAATCCATAGAATAGCAACACTTTCTTTTTCCTTTCTTTTCTTGTTATTGTTATTGTCACTGAATGTAAGTAATTGATCTTGCGTCTTGCGCGCAATCAAGACCAAGTGTGTGCCCAGGCGTGTTCTACATTAAGAAATGAGTAAATTTCAAGCGTTTACGGGCGTCATTGAATCAGGCTTATTTTTTTAAGGACGCAAAGCTGAAAAATTTAATCACGTCTGTACGCAGAATACGCCTGAGCACACACACATTATAACCCTACTCATTTTTCTCAGAATACGCCTGAGCACACACACATTATAACCCTACTCATTTTTCTCCAAAACATTCCCTTTGTGTACACTTGTTCATCGGTCTCTTTCTCTCACGCCCCCCTCCTTCTCTCTCTCTCTCTCTCTCTCTCTCTCTCTCTCTCTCTCTCTCTCTCCCTCTCTCTCTCTCTCTCCATCTCTCTCTCTCTCTCTCCATCCCTCTCTCTCTCTCTCCCTCCCTCTCTCTCTCTCACACACATACACACACCCCGGGGCGGTGCCACTGACTAAAGTGTCCTCTCTCTCTCACACACATACACACACCCCGGGGCGGTGCCACTGACTAAAGTGTCTTCAGGCCATTCCCAAAGGGGAGAACATTTCTCGTTCATGCACAGTAGAATTGTAAATGGGCTGATTCTTCAATGTCACGCTCATAACTGTACCTGATCTACAACAGGGAACTGCTGCCTTTTCTTTCCAAATCCTTACTATTGTTATTTTTCCTCTACTTTTTTGTATGTTTATCCCACTCTTGTGACCCACTATTTCCGGGGTGCCTTGATAGTCGAACCAGACTTTGTGCTATTGAAGCAAGAGAGGTGGGCAGAGTAAGTCTGATTCCCTGTAAGTACTTCTCTGTTGGCATCCACCCCTTGGCGTTCATATGACCTTTTGGAGTTGCAAGCACCGTAAAACCTCCACTAAAACTAAACTAAACACACACACACAC